GGATGACTTTCATTTATCTCATGGTTTCTTTGTGCTGCAGAAGACTCAGATTTTCCCCATAGTCTTTTTATAGTCAGTCACTCACAGTATAAGAATTCATTGTCAGGACAGAGCTCTAGCTTTGCATGTCCACATATCCATTTATCTGATACATTAAGAGTTTCTCTCAAAGGCTTCTTTCCAAGTCATGCTATTGTTGGGGCTTGTAATCTAGCAGTATTTTCTCTACAACCTCACCAGGAAGCTACAAGAGGATTGTCCGTGACTCACGATAATTTTACGTGTGAATTCAGCTAAGCCCCCAGGCAGCTCAGAAGGCTGGCCAGTGTTTCTCAAGCCCTATACTAAATCAACAGCATAAAATTTAACTGGGAGAGAGTGTTTTTAAAATAGAATGGGGAGCATACACTTCATTCCATCACACAGTCGGAGCTGTGTTACTCGTGGTTCATATCAGTAGTCTGGGGATTAAGAAACTTTCAGTTTTTCCTCCACTTTTCAAGACTATCCCACAGAAGACGTCCTTTCTAGCTCAGAAGCAAGGCAAACATTCTCTGTATATCCAAGACCCACTCCAGATCTACAAATGAGTCTATCTTCTGCCCAGGAATCCAGCACTAGTTCCATTGGATTTTGTAACTATTGGTACATACAAGAGTTTTAAAATTGTCCTCCTCTGAGCTAACAAAAGCTCAGGTTTGATTTTCTCCCACAGTGGTAATCTGAGTGTTTCCCCTCTCTGCCCTTAGCTGATTCCCTTTGCCATTTCTAAACTTACTCACTAACCCGAGTAAAATGTGTAGCAGTGAGACTTCCCCTCCCAGGAGCAGACCTGTAAAGAGCATGGATTTGAAGACAGACTTTGCAAGCCTGTTCCATCCTCTGTTCCAGGTAACTCCAATATACAGATCCGTGGAGATTTATTCCACTTAAAAAAAATAAAGGGGGTGGGGGGGGGAAGAATGGAGATTGTCAGAGAATGCAAGCCAAATTAATTTCAGAATTGGTTCATCCCTTCCCGGCATCTTCAGAGTTGCGTCAGCTTGCTGAGGAAATGGACTTGGCTTTGTGTTTCTGAGAATCCAGACTTGTTTCAATTCTTCTGAACACTTCCTTCTTTCCTTCTGACTGCACTTCAGTTTTGATCCAAGTATCAGATAGGCCCATGAGACAGCTCACTTGCACAGAATGTAACACAAAGTTCTACTGACAGATTCTGCTACCTAGACGATGCAGTGAACAAAATGGATAAGGTCTCAGCTTCTTTCCTTGTTATAGCAACAAAGCACCTTGTGATGATAATTGTTTTTTTCTGTTTCATAAGCTGCTTGCCATGGCAAGTCGCTTGTGTTACTCTGTCAGATATCAGAAGAAAACAATTTGAGTTCCCTAGAAAAATACAAATTTTAAAAGTTAATTGCATATTGGTTTGCTTCCTGCCGTAACACTACTCATCCTCTAAGCTCAGGGAGAGATATGCAAGGAAAAATCCCAGCATGAGAAAAGGACTTGAAGGTTTCTTGGGCCTGGTGTATGTGCAGAAGGACTAAACTAAAAACTCATGAAGAATATGGTACAATGGGGAAGCAAAACTCCTCAGTACACTCTCAGAGACACTGTTAAAGAGAGTACAATGATAGAGTCTTCCTTGCAAACACTTTCCAAGAAAGTTTCAGTTACACAGAAAAATTGTGCATGCAGGAAAATGGAGTAGGGAGAGTTCGAAAAAAAGAACCAGAAAGAATCTGCATGATTAAAAGTCAGAGGAACTGGTAAATATGGTGAAGCAACAGGAGATTCAGAACAACAAAAGCAACTGACACCACTAATCTACCCTCTGTGTCTGCTGAGAACTGATATACCCTTCAGTATATCTAAAATAAATGATGCTTATCTGGATGTATTCAAGTATTGTGAAGCTAGAAAAGTACTGTTACTTATTTTGCTGACGATTTTGATGATCACAAGAAGAACTTTTCATGTTCTTTTGAGGTTTTTTTTTAGGGAAAAAGAAAGAATAGTTCAAGTTGGCCATTGTCAAATGTTTCTACTAGAAATCACTCAAAAAATACCATAATTTCAAAAATATCAGGGATAGTCTTGATCTGTAGCTGATAAACAAGTTCAGTTGCTCACTAAGCTTTTGGCATAAGTCTGTATGTCACAGAGTGGACTCCCAACCTTATGTCTTGTCTGTGATTCCCCTCTTGCAGAAGTTAAAGAGGGGATGCAACATCAAGAAGTTGTTTTTTAGGTCACAGCACCTACAAAGATCAGTGACGTACTTCACAGACTGAATTTAGAGTGTTGGTACAAGGAGTCATGACAGGATAAGCCTGTCTATGAGTTCTGGCCTCCCACCTGCAAGCTACATGCAGTTTAGGGAAGACAACCAGGAAAAATTGAAGGCATAGGAATGATGGAACAGCTTTTCAACCCCACTGCAGAACTGGTTTTCGCAGGTTCACTGTGGCAGTGAGGACCTTCTAAGATACTCTCCCTTTCCTTTTTATTGCTCCCCATGCAGGCAGACCCAGTATTTGATTAGCCTTCCTCTCCTGTCAAGCAAGGCTTACAGCAGTTAAGAGCACTGCAGGATTTCTAGAGAGCTGCCCATTTCTCTTTTCCTGCCTTGAGGTTCGCCGCAGAACACTGCTGCCTGGTGGGGCAGCTGGAGGAGTTTGTTGCCAATCCAGCTGAAGTCACAACACAGGTTGAGTTAGCAGAGTAGTGTTGGAAGGCTGAGCTGCCTTCTTGCCGTGGCATTTGCACTGCTGTTGCTGTGGCACTGCACATCGTGTGTTTAAAAAAGAGGGTTCTGTCTTCCGGAGGCTTCAGATGGGCCAGACATTTTTCAAGAATTAAACTCAAGTTCAGAGAAAGGACGGAAGAATCTGCTCAGACAGAACAATATTTTACATACAGAGTGGGCTATAACCTCAGCAAATGTAAATCTGTGCTCTGACAAAAGCAATGGAGTTACATTGCTTTGCCACAACTGAGGATCTTGTCCCAATATTTTGCTTTTTTATCAAAAAATAGAAAGGGGAAGAAGACACCTTAAGCTAATATCACTCTCTGTGCCTTTGCAAGTTTGCATCATCACCCCTATGCGATTGTGTGGTTATGACTCATCAATAGGTGATTATGTCTCTGCTTCCAGCAGTCTGCAAACAAGTAGTCCTCAGGTATCTTATATCCTGATGTGATCTGGCAGTGAAGAATGAGCAAGTAAGAGGCAGTTTCAGTTCCATCTTCTGGTGTTTCTTTGTTCTTGTAGGTCACCAAGAAGCCTAAGAAGCGTGAAACTGAGGTTCACCCACAAATGTGCCTATTTTACTATCTGTTTGGTTCTTGCTCCCTGAAAAGTTCTTCTGGGCCACCCAGGTATTGAAAAATATGAGCCTGCTTTCAGGGTGCTTCAGAAAGCAAGATTTGTGCATGCTCCAGTACCCTGTCTGCTCGTTAGAAATGGCTAAAACAAGACGAGACAGGTAGCACGGAGAGGCGGTGCACCCTGCGTGCATGTGTCTGCCTGTGAGGAAACCCATCACCTTTGTGTGTGCTGCTGCTTCTGCCCTCGTCTTGGTCAGGAGAGATGCTGTGTTTCTGTGAGCTGTGGTCCTCACCTCTGTGGAGAACCGAGAGGTCGTCCAGAACCAGGGCTTGTTAGAAGCAGGGAAAGAGTTTAAAGGTAGGTTAAAGCTTCAGTGTTTTTGTTTGAACCTGTCTGTTTGTGTGCTGGCTTTTAGAAAGTGCTCCGGCAGGTTTGTTTGTGCTGGTGCAACACGTTTATGAGACCTGAGAAAACCTGCACAACCCTCTCAACAGGTATCCCTACAACATGTTTAATCTGCTCTCTCTACAAGCTCTGCAGGGCATGTGCTTTCTTTTTTTTTATGTGTCAAACGTAATATCTAGAACAATGGTTTTTAGATCCATTTTCATATTACTAGATACTTTTCTAATGGAAACAATAAATTGTTGAAGTGTGCTTGAAACGTCATGTCAGAGAGAACAGTGCTTTTCCCGTACCGCCTACTTTGTTTGGCATCATATTCTGCACCTAAGCTTGATCACTTCTGCATGCTGCTGGATAACAAGGTGACTATGCAATCTACTATCCAGTTTCCAAAGTAATAGGGGTATCACACTGCCTCATAGTAGAAAATGTCTGGTGTACCGTGACAGGAAGCACTGCATTGGCAGACCTGAATTCATGGCATGAAGCTTGAGTCCATCAAGATTTACTAGCTCTGATTCAGCGGTGCTCCTTGTGGGACCCAAACAGGATCAGACACGAGCCTTCTGCCATGCTTGGACCTTCGTCTGTAACTGCAGTAATTCTGCTCAAGCAGGGCATCTCTCTGCTGCTAAGCCTAACTGGACGCCAGCTGTCTTACAGAGAGCCAATTCAGGTGTATTTTCTTTTGTGGCCTCTCCAAATTGCTCTGGAATAATTTTGAGCCACTTATTTTTCTAGGCATTTCCAGGGGCCAGCCAGGAGCACCCTGTGAGCTGAGTTTAGCCCAGGGGGTATTCAGCCGGGGGCCGTGCCTGGCAATCAACGCTACCTTTCAGGGGTCACCGGTCTTCCTCCTCAGAACGCCCCCGCGGGGCGCCGACAAAGGCAGCGCAGCTCCGGGCAGCCCCGCGGGTTGCGGGCGGCCGCCAGGCCTTCCCCTGACCTGGGCTGCGGAGAGCGCCCGAGGAGGGGCCGTGAGGCGCAGACGCGTCCCGCGGGGCGGACGCCGCGGTCCCGGCGGCTCCCGGGGGCGGAGGAGGGTCACCGACCGCGGGTCATCCGCCAGGGCGAAGCGCAGGCAGCACCACCCCCCTTCGCCACCGCCACCGCCCCGGGGACCGCCCCGCGGCCGGGCCGCGGCGGGCGGTGGCGGCGGGTGACTGACAGGCGGCGCGGCCCACCCGGAGGGCGGAGGCGGCGGGGGCCGCCAATCCGTGGCGGCGGGCGGGCGCCGAGCGGCGGGCGGGCGGGGCGCGGGCTGGGCGTGTGCCGCGGCCGCCGGCGGGGCGCGCTCCCGCTCCGCTCCCCTCCCGCTCCCCCCGCACGCACATTGTCCGGGCGGCGGCGGCGGCACAGCGCCCCGGCGCCCCGTGCCAATGCGGGGCGGGCGCGGCACGCCGGGGGCGCCTCCACCACCGCGGTGGAAACTTCCCCTCGCCGCCGGGCCGACGCGCGGCTGAAAGCCCCCGGCGGGGAGGAGCGGAGCGGAGCGGGGATTCGCCCGCCTGGGGTGGGGTGGGGGGGGGCGCCTCGTCTAGTTTGGTTTTTCCTCCGTTGGAAGGGAAAAAAAAAGCAAATAATACTGTTACCTGGCTTTAAACTTCTGCGCCCCGCTCTCCAGGACGCGCATCCCGCCCGGCGGGGTGGACGAGCCGGTGAGTGACCGCCGGGCTGGGGCTGGGGCTGCCTCGGGGTGGGTGGGACGCGCCGTCGCGGAGGGGCAGCGCCCACCGGCGCGGCGGGGACGGGGCGGCAGCGCCGCCGCCACCTGTTAACGGGGCTGTTCTCCCCCACCCTGGGAAGTTTGTTGCCCCCACCGTGCTGGGGGTGCCCTCCGCCGTGCCCCGGGGCAGCTGTGAGGAGGGAGCGATCCTTAGCCCGGTGGGCGGTGGCGGGGACCCACCTGCTCTCCTGGCCGCGCCATGACTCTGCTGCTTGGGTGCTGCCTGCCGACCCCAGCCCTGCCAGGCCGCCGAGGTAGGAGGGTGATGGGGTACCACCGACCCACAGCCTCTTCACCCCCTTTGCACTCCTCCTGCCTCCTGTTGTTTGTTCATTGTTGTTTCCCCTCCCAAGCTGCAACCCCCTTCCCTTTTCCCCCCTTGCCCTCCGGCTCCTCTCCACATCCCTTAGCTGCAGCCCTCTCCACCTGCTCTTTCTCTCACCCCCAGTTTGCAGCCCCCCGCACCCACCTTCCCTCATCCCCTTGAATCCACCACGCTGCTCCTGTGATGCGACTCCCCACTCTTTTGCCCAAGTAGGTGCCTGCTGGGCTGCGGTACCCCCCAGGAGAGACCAGGTTCTCGGCAGTGCCAGGCGTCGGCAGGCCAGGGGCGAGGCGCGGAGGGGGCGCGCAGGTATATATATATGTGCATCTGTGATGAAGTGAGCGAGGTCCCCGTTCTGTGAGCATGCGGCTCTGCGGAGCTGGTGACACTCCCTTCCTCCTAGGGACGCTCTCTGCCGGGCTCTGCGGCGTTCCGAGGCTGGCTGCCTGCCGTGCCAGGGTGTCCTGGGGTCCAGGGGTGCAACGCCTTCAACCCAAGTGAAGGGGCATCTGAGAGCTTGCTTGGCCCGTATGGATCCTGGTTGGGGATGTGTTTTAAATTGCCTTAAGCAGTGGAGCGTGTCTGGAGACAAAAGAGACAATGAGAAATCAGAGTGGACTGGCGAACTCTGGAGTGGCTGGAGAAATGCTTAGGACAGCTGGAAACAGGAGGACCGTGCATCAGGAATGGCTTGTTAAGCCATTGCATGGCAAGTCAAGCCATTGACTATTTCAGTGTCCTAAGTTGGATGGTCATGTCTCTTTTAGCCTGTGACATGTTTCTTTTTACCCTGGTCTTTGAGATGCAGAAGGGGTACAGACTCCTGGTGAGGCTTTGTCACGATGTACTCCAGTCTCGTTGGCGTGGGTAGGTTGTGCAGCTTGGAGCAGGAACTGGTTTTGAATGGAGGAAAGCACATGAGGTTTGGTGTGGGCTCAGCTAAAGAGTTGCTGGAGTCAGAACTGGTAATGTGTTTGTTCTTCAGAGTATTTTGATTTTGCAGCTGGTGATTTGTGTGATTTCTGCAAGTGTTTGTAAGACAGCCATGACTTTGAATCCATGTGTGTCCTCCGTCTGTGTGTCTGGCCCTTTCCTTCTCCTTGTCAAATGTTTTCCCTGTGTGATTAATATTGTGCCAACTGCTTCATTTCAGCACTGGGGAGTCTGATACTGATTGATTTCCTTGTTCAGTCTCCTTGGTGGGTCTGGAGGCTGATGGGTGTTATCATTGCAGAAAAGTCTGCTTTTGGGTGGGAGCTGTCAGCATGTCTTTTTTTTATCTCAGTGAACCTCTTATTTCTTTTAATTAAAAAGAGATGAAGTATGCATGGTAATATCCTTCATGTTTACATAAAAATGATCTTGTAATTAGCAATAATTATCTCAGTTTGAGATATTGCTGTGATATTTAAACGGGACATATGACCTGAGGGACACTTTTCTGCCCCAGGGAGTTGCCCTTGGTGTGGTTCTCTCCTGCGTTGAGTTTGATTCTTGGCTGCTGTCAGTGGTGAAGGTAGAACAGCAGTGGGAGTAACCTCGTGCTTCTCTGATGTCTGCCTAGAAAGCGATGGCCACGATTTCCTTATCACATCTGGTGCTGCTGCACAGGGCTCCCTGGCAGACCTGTGACCACGTGCATGCAGATGGTCTGCCTTGGTGGCTTTCACTCCAGGGTCTGAGGATTCTCAAGGGGACTTTGCCATTGCCTTGGGGGAGGGGAAAAAAACAGGCTGAAAAATTGCCAATTGACCTTTTTTTTCCTAGTTCTCCTAGGGAGATTTGGAAAAGTCTGCTGATAATGTGGGAAACTTCCCAGTGAGAGTAGAGGTCCTGAGGCTACAGCCATCTTTCACCTGACTTCCCTTTGCTTTAGGAGGAGCAGAGCTCAGCTCACAAATGTAAACATTTGCTTCCAGGCTGGATATGGCACCTGCTGCCTCCACTCCTGCTACTGGTGCACCCCAAATTTACCTTCCTGCTAGGCTACCCTTGGAGAAAATACCAGGTTTTCTTGGGGTCAAAACCTTTATGGGGTAAAAAAAGTTGAATACTGGGGAAATGTTCAGCAAAATAAAAGTCAAGACAAAAATTGCTACCTGTAGAGAGGTGTTTGTTGTGGCAATGTGTTATAGGGAAGAGGTAGGAATGTCTTCTCTCCTGTCTTTCAAGATGTGTTATACAATATACTGTACTTTTTGTCAGTCTAGGAGAAGCAAAATGGTTGTGCTCTAAGCAATCTTTATCTAATAATAATAATTTATTATCAGCTTTCTATTTTAACATTTTTTGAGCTGTAAACTTAAAACCAGAGGTTATTAAGCACCAGATAAAAATGTTGAATCTATTTGAGTTTTACCTGTATTAATCTAATAATATATTTATGACATGATATTTGATCAGCTCTGTAGCCGGTTGATGACCAGCTATAGAGTATTAATCAAATAAATTACTTGACAAATATGGATGAGATTAAACAAATTATCTATTTGCCAGCTGCCGTTCAACTGATCTGCCATGGAATGTTCCTCATTCTCTTATCTTTCCCTTCCAGTTTTCACTCCACTTTTTAAATGGTTTATCTTGTTCTGAACTGTCCTCGGTAGTTGTTTCACTTACCTCTTTTGTGCCATAGTTTTCTGTTCATTCTTTCTTCTGCCTCTCTATTGAACCTCTCTTTCCATGCTTTTTGAGTCTAAATTAGCCATTTTCCCTCTTTTTCTCTACCTTCCTGGTGGAGATTTTTATTGAACGGTTCATAGTCAGCTCAACTAAATTGGTATGTGTTTAAACCCATAAAAATGTATAACTAAGCCCAGACTGTGTGTGAGTATGAAGATGTTTGCTCAGTGGTAATGCTTCTCTGCCTCTCCCCGAGTTTTTTGGCTCTTGCAGGAAGGGTGTTCCTGCAATTCTGGAGGTTTTTCCCAGCTCTCATTTTTGCTTATGCTCTCCTTATGCCTTTTTCAAACGTGAATTTGATTTTGTATCTTAAGAAAGAAACTGGGATCAAATGACAGACCTTGTGTTGTTCATTGATTGTGTATCTGTATGTGTGCAACCTGCTTCCATCTGCTGTCTGACCAAACCCAGCTTTCCTGCCAGGCAGTTCTGCTTTCCTCCTGGCATCATCATTCCTCCCTGCTGGGTTTACAGCCAGGAGGTGCCTTTCAGTAGGGCAGAAGGAACGGGTTCTCTGAATGTTTTCTGACTTATCTGTTAGTTGCAGAGTCTGTATGAGTGTCAGGTTGATGAGGGTAAGTGGCAAGAGGTGAACAGGTTGTTGTGCATGATCAAGCAGTCACAATATTCAATTCGATCTAGTATTCAAAGATTAAAGTCTCTTAAAAATGAAATTGCTGTATGGAGAAGAATTGTTTTAGGGTTTTGTTGGTTTTTTTCCCCCCACCGGATGAAATCTAGAGATGGGGAGGATGTTTTTCAAAAACAACGAAAGTAATAGAAAATCTTATATTTCAGGGGAGGAATTTTGCCGTTCTTTGGCAATAAAGCACAGGCAGTCCAGAGGAGCGTGATGGGAGTGCTCAGAGTGCGTGATTCGCCTCCACTGATGGTTGCAGTGATGTTGCAGCAGCAAATGAGCTAAGCTGTGTATGTCATAGCTGTCTGCTTTAAGTACTCTGAGTTACGTGACGATGCCCTCTTGTACCCCCAAGGAAAGGTCTGTGCTGCTCTGAAGTTAACAGTTACCCAGCTCCTCTGTGTCTTCTGAGGCGTTTGGGATAACCGGTGCATTGACAGAGTGAGCAATCCAGGTGGTACATTGTTGCAAAGCAGAATTGATGGGGGAGGATGGAGCCAAGAGGAATATTCTTTTGCAGTTTATTTACTGCAGGGAGAGAGGGAAGCTGATGATGTTTGGTTTATAATTACAGATATCCAGAGGAAAATACTTCAAGACGATCTGTTTTATTCTATATGTTGCTGCCTATTTCTCTTTAACATGGGATAGCACAATTTAATGATTGGTTTAGTAAATAAGCAAAACTTCATTACCAACCTCTCACTGATGCAGTATGGTTTTACAGCTTCTTGTGTGTGATGCAAAATGATCTGAATGCTTACAGAGGGAATAGTCTTTCCATGCTCACTGTCTTAATGCATGACCTGCCTCTGGTACCCGTCTGACAGCAATGTGGGCTCTTGGAAAAGTTGATCTCTAGAACCGAAAGATGACTTTGTAGTTAAAGTGCAGGATTGTGAACTGGGGAGTCCTGACCCCTCCATCTGATCTTGGATAAGCTATTTGCCTTATCTTACTGGACTCTCTTCTTTAGGAGTGATACCAACCCAGTCTATCTGCTAAAAGGGTAGGATGCCCTAGGTGAGAGACCCTCTGATAATGTAGAGGTAGTAGCAGCCCAGGTACTTGCATACTACTGTGCCAGGGGCCAAACTTTAAGTGGGTTTTTCCTTTTGCATAGCTAAATCCATTACAGATCAGACTGCTCGTATGTAAGTTAAATTCAAGAGCTGGTGGAGCCAAGTTTAAATGTGTGTGTGTGTGGGAGCAATAATTTGACGAATACAAAAAAGAGACATTGCTGCAATGTCTCTGGGAAGATGCCTATATGTCTTCTGCTTGT